TGCAATCCATACAGAAGGCTGTATTATTTGATCTTCTGCAACAAGTGCTTCAAGTCCTCCTCACTTTCAGGAAGCAAGGTTTCATTTGCATAATGCAGATTATTGATGAGTGTCGCTCCAAACCTGATGCCACATTTCCCTTCATCAAGTCCAGCTTCTCAAATAATTTGTTCAGCATACACATTAAATAAGTATGGAGAGAGAATACAATTCTGATGCACTCCCTTCTTAATTGTAAAGTGTAAAGGATCGGTGGAAGATCTATCAACAATCTGTGTTATGCAGATGACACAACCCTGCTTGCTGAAATTGAGGAGAATCTGAAGCGCTTGCTGCAGAGGGTCAAGGACTGCAGCCTTTAATATGGATTAAGGCTCAATATCAAGAAGACAAAGATTCTCAGCACTGGACCAATCGGTAGCATCAGGATGGATGGCAAAGAGATTGAGATTGTTCACATCTTCAGTTTGCTCGGCTCCACGGTCAACACTCTTGGCACCAGTAGCTAGGAAATTAATAGACATATTGCGATGGGAAAATCTGCTGTTAGGGACCTCTCCAAAGTACTGAAGAACAATGGTGTCACTCTGGAGAATAAGGTATGTCTGATAAAGGCCAATACTTGTTATGCATCAGAGAATTGGACAATGACTAGGGATGATAGAAGGAGAATTGATGCCTTTGAGCTGTGGTGCTGGAGAAGAGTATTGAATGTACCATGGACTGCTAAGAAAACAAACAGAATTATCCTGGATAGGGTTAAATTGGGCTGCTCCTTGGAGGCAAGAATTCTGGGGCTTCGTCTAACATACTTTGGACATGTTGTAAGGAGGGACCGGTTCTTGGAGAGGGACATCATGCTTGGGAAGGTGGAGGGACAGCACAGGAGGGGAAGGCCCTCTATGACATGGATTGATTCATTGACTGGGGTAATCGGGATGGGTGTGTTGGAGGCAGTGCAATTGGCACAGGATAGAGTAGGGTTTAAGGCTGTTGTACATAGAGTCACTATGAGTCGCAAACGACTCGATGGCACATACCACCACCACCACCACCACCAGTGTTCCCTTGCTCTGTTTACAGAACAGCCTTCTAGTCGAGGTATAGGTTTGGCATGAATACAATTAGGTGCTCTAGGATTCCTATTCTTCTCAATGTTAGCCACAACTAGTTATGATCTACACAGTTAAATGCTTTTGCATAGTCAATAAAGCACACATTTTAAATCACTAAATGAGTGAATGCATAAGAATCTGATTAACTTAGGAATGAGCACAAATGCTTTTTTTAAAAAAATTGATGCCTTTGAGTTGTGTTGTTAGAGATCATTGACTATCCCATGGACTGTCAAAAGAACAAACATATATCTTGGAGCAACTGCAGTCAGTGCTCCTTGGTGGCAAGGATGACACAGCATCTCACATACACTGGGCATGTTGTTAGGATGGGCTATTACTTGGAAAGGGATTGCATGCTTGGAAAGGTGAAGGGGCAGTGTAAGAGGAAGACCTTCAATGAAATGGACTGACATAGTGACTTGCAGAAAAGGGCTCAAATGTCTCAGAGGCAATGAGGATGGTGTAGGATAGGTTAAGGTTCAGATCTGTGTTTGTAGAGTTGCTATAAGTTCTACCCTACTTGATGGCACATAACAAGAGCAATTACATTAGGCACCCAAAGGTGTGAAGAGACTAATATGCCTGATCATAGCAAAATGTGTCCAGGAGAGATCGATCCTTGGAGAAGGACATCATCCTTGGAAGGATAGAGGGACGAAGACCCCGGGTGAGGTGGATTGATACATTAAGGCAATGGAGGTAGTTAGTGTAAGAGTCACTGAGACTGGCTTAGGACAGGGCAGGCTTCAGAGCTGTTGTACATAAGGTCACTATCCGTTGCAGGCAATTCAACAGCATGTAACAATGACAACTTTTACTCAGACCATCTTCACCTTTTTTGTTCTTGTTATGTACAAGAGTCACCTACGACTCATACCAACTAATAGCTCTGAACCCTGTCCTATCTTGGGCCAGTCCAATGTCTTTGACACACCTAATCCCATTACCCCACTTACCGTGTCACTCCATCTCATCGGGGTCTTCCTCTCTTGTGCTGTCCCTCCACCCTTCTAAACATGATGTCTTTCTCCATGGAATGGTCCCTCCTGGACACATCCCAAAAGTATGCGAGATGGAGCTTCAGACTCCTTGTCACCAAGATGAAACTTGGTTTTACCCTCTCCAAAACAGATGTTTGTTCTCTTAGTGGTCCATGGTATGTTCAATACTTTTTTCTAGTACCACAACTCACCTGTAGCCTATTATATATTATTTACTGGTTTATTTTCTAGACAAATGAATTTGAAAGTAGACTGTATATTTTGTTGAATTGCATCCTGCTTATTACAATGACTTTTATATTGTATATACTAACATTGGAAGGAGGAGTGGCATCCACTTCCATAATAGCTTGCCTCCGAAAACCCTATGAACCTGGAGGGAGGATGAAAGGCAACCAAGCATCGAGGACTCTCCTTCATAGGGTCGCTATGAGTCGCCTGTGACTCGACGGCACTTAACAACAACAATATACTAACATTAGTCCAATGAATTAACAAAAATACTTGCCAAATTTCAGTGCTAGATATATGTTGATTACTAGAAGAAAGCAGGTAGAAGTACCCCATCTTTTCTTTTTCTCTTGGACAAGAAGTACCTGCCTGTGCTGTACTGGTCTCAGGCAATCATTACTAGTCCTTACTGAAGACTGGCATTTAGATGTTACTGTATCTCACATTTTCACATTTCTGGAAATGTCCTCTTACCAAAGGTCTTGTGCTTCTTTGGATCATCTGGTGTTATACACTGCTACTTATAACATAGATATGCTGGTACTGTCAGTCCATACCTGTAATAAACCCAAAATGTCAAATGTTTATTTCATAGGCCATTTTATATGTATCAAAATGTCTCAAATTTGTATGTTCATTTTCTGTAAGAACTAACAGTTACTGAGATTATCCATACCAGGCACTATATGCTTACATGTATTCTCTCATCTCCATGGGGTAGGCTGTCATCTCCACTTTGCAAATGAGAGCATAGAAACAAAAAAGGATCAAATGGTTTGCTCCCTATCACACAAGAATGGTAGATAAAAGGTTCTAACATGGGCTGGCTCTCACAAGAATGCCATGCAATCTAATTGCTTTTTATATTTCATATATTTATGATAATCTTTCTTTTGGGAAAAACAACAAGAATTTGGAAGCATACTTCATTTAATTACTAAACATTTGCTCTTTTGTATTTAACCAAAGATTTAGCTTCTGTGTGTTCATCTGGTTGTGAAAACCAAATGTGGAAGAATGCTTTCATTTGCCTTTATAACAAAGGAATCATTAAGAACACATTCTTCAAAAATCTACTACAAACTGCACAATTAAACTCCAAATGTTGAATAAACATTTAACTTAAAATAGTTGACCCTAAAATAAGGAAGTATGTTAGAACTAGCTTAAATTAAACCTTATTTTTTATTTCTCATCTATTTTGTATAAACTATGAACTACCTCGACATGAAAAAGTGACAATTAATGACTACATAGTTTTCCAATGGTTTTTATCTAAGTGTGGTTCCTTTCATTATGGTTTATCAGTGTTAAACACCACATTTTTGCAACTTAGTTATAAAACATAAGTACTTTAATATGCAATGAATAAAGCAGCAAAAAACTGTTACAGTAAATAAAACTAAAGAGGAATGTCAAAAGAGCAGTATATTAGCATATAAAATTTTCATGTATAAAAACTATACATTAAGCAGGTAAAATTACCTTGCACCTATATTCTGTAGGGGATGCTGCACTTTTCATAAGAACCAACAATATTAAAAAGGCAAAAAACATTTAACTTGCAGACAGTACACAGAACATCTTACATCATCTGTAAAAATAGTGAGAAAGTCAATGTTTTATTTGCCACAAGGATAAGGAAGGAAACATCAGTGAAATAAATTTGATAACATGACTCACACTTCATTACAAGTGATTTTCCTATATTCACAACTTTCACATTTGGCTGAGCTAAAAATGAGGGAGGAGAAAAAGAACTAAAATAAGAACTTTTAACTATATTTTACTAGATGTAAGTAGGCCAGGTCACATGATCCCTCTAAATGAGGGAGTTCAAATAAGTGCACTGTTCTAGCTGGGAAAATATTTTCCTTAATTTATTAAGTTAAAATAATTTTCCCATGGCAATGAACATGCATTAGGTCAGGATCATAATTCCCTATCAGGTTATCTTTTTCAGAATTATGCAAAAATTATGCAACATTTTGTCAAGAACAAATAAGAAATCCATATGATTTGTTTTTCAGGGTTTTTTTCTCCTAAAATCCTTCTAGATTTCCTAGGTACAATTTTACTTAATGGATTAATCTTTATCATCTTTAGCACTCAGCAGAAGTATTGAGCATAATGAAAACATGGCTACTTAAATAACTGCTCCTCATTCACCTTTTCATTCTCAGTATTAAAAAGTATATTTGTAAAACAAAGTAGGCAAAAGTATTGTAGACTTTAGAGGCATCTGGAAGGGAGGGAGTTCAGAAGTTGAGAAAAATAGACTTTTCACCCTCCTCCCTGGCTTCAGATTTAGATAAGGTGTGAAAGGTGTCAGAGGCTTAAACGGACTCTTCCTAAATCTGTTTTCCCCTTTATGAAAAACAAAACAGAAATGCTTGGCACTACATGCTTTTAAGGCATAAAGCCCATTAATAACCACGCTATAGCCATTATTGTGGAGAATCATCACATTTTAAATTTTAAAAATTGCCAGCTGAATCTCTTCAGATAAAGACTGAAATCTCTCCTACCACAGGAAACAGGAGAGAAACTGACAGACGCCCTACTTGCACAAGAGAACAACCCTTTTCCTTGGACCACCCCTCTCATATACATGTCTAACGGCCTTGGCAGTGAAAAAAAAAGGCGAGGCTCAGTCTTCCATGGCAAAGTCTTTGGTCTTTTCCTCCTGATCTCCCACTTTGTAGCGCAGCAGCACGCGCAGGTGCCGGGGGTTATCCCGGGAGGGCAGCAGCGTGATCTCTCCAGAAATGTCCGTGTCCTGTTCTACTTGCACAGGCTCGTTGAGGTACAGAAGTGCCTGCTTCCAGTGCGTGGCCGGGTGGAACGGCGAGGTGGACAGCACCAGGGGTTTCTCGGAGTCCCCTCCAGGGAAGGTCACCTGGAACCAGATGGCGAAGCCGTGCATTGGCGCCGAGCCATAGCTGCTGCAGCGGAAGCGCCCACCCACCCCAGTCTCCAGCTCCTTCTCCAGACCAGTTCGGGCCAGCTCCAGATGAGCAAAGCGCTGCGGCCGGGCTAGTACATCCTCACCAGACAGGCCTTGCACCACGATCTCCGAGTGGCCCATGAGGCAGCGGGTGGCGAAGCTTTCCAGGCAGCTCATGTCCACGCCGTAATGCTGCTTCACCTGACTCCAGAAGCCCAGGCGCCACTCCAGCATCTGGTCGCTGATGGGGGCCACGAAGAGTTCAGCAGACGCCGGCAGGAGGAGGCCGCCCTCCTTGAGCCACTTGGTCCGCGCATGGAGCACGGAACTCAGCATTGACTCGTGCAGGAGCCCGTAGCCCATCCACTCGCTCACGATGGCATCCACCTGCTCCGGCAACTCCACCGTCTCCACTGGCCCGGGCAGGACGTGCACCCGGTCCTCCAGTCCATTGAGCCGCACCACCTCCCGGGCCTGTTGCCAGATGGCGCTGGCCTCCACGGCGTACACGCGCCGGGCCCCCGCCTGGGCACAGAAGATGCTTAAAATGCCAGTGCCCGCACCCACGTCAAGCACCGTCTTGCCTCGCAACGCTGACCAGTTTCGCAGGATCCCCAGGCGATAGGCATCGGTGCGGACTCGATCGGCGATCATCTCCTCATGGACCGATACGTCCGAATAGCACTCATAATACAGCTGGTCTCGCTCCCGTTTAGTTTTTCGGGGTCGTGGCGGGACCGCCTCCTGCTCTCCGCCATCTTCCTCGTCAATCCCCTCCCCACTCTCACCGGCACCCCCTGACTCAAGCTTTCTTTTCTTGAGCAGCGACATCTTGGCCGCTCCAGCCGGCTCCCATCGGGCGTTGCGCGGCGTCTCACGGACCAGGGAAGCAGGGGCTTCTGGGACATGTAGTATGCACTTGAGCTTCCCACTTCCTGTGGGGTTTTAGGATTGAACCCAGCCCAAAGCCTTTGAAGTCCTGAAATCTTTTTTCCACTTTTCACGCCTCTGTCCTGTGATTCCAACAATTTTCACTTAGCTCCAGTTTGTGTTTTCCATTTTTCACTTTCTTGAGGTGGAGATTTTCACTTCTGACTAAAATTCCACCTTTTGCCTTTCCTGTTCAACTCAGTTATAAGGCTGGTTTCCTTCCTACACTACTAACTTATTTGGAAAATTGCAGTTTTAGGGGGTTTTTAGAAGTGATAGGATGTAAAGAAAATGTAAATAAAGCAGCCTGAAAATCTAACAATGCAAAACCTTGATTCTGAGCTGATAGCACTCATTAATTGAATAAGCGATTAAGGGTAAACTAGTTAAATGTTCTGGCCTGTAAAGACCCTATTATCAGAGGAGGTAATAAGGAATCTTAATTGCAGTGGGAGAATTATGTTTCTCGTCTTCATTTCAGGATCATAGTTACTTCGTCGTTGTCTCTGGTTTTGGCAAGAAGCTGCAACTGCTATACCAGAGGCTCACGGTTCAAATCCACCAGATGCTTTGCCGGGGAAGGAGGGGCAGTCTCCTCCTGTACCAGTCAGATCTGATTTGACGGTACACTCACACAAAAATAATAATAATAATAATAATAATAATAATAATAATAATAATAATATAATAATAATAAAAAGACTGAAGAGAAGCTGAATATCAAAGTGTGATGTAATCAAACCCATTGCCAAGGGCATTCTGGTAACCAGTTATGAGCATTTCTCCAGCTCCCTCTCAAATAACTGTAGCTCTCATTTCCCTCCCCATCAGTTTTCTACTACAACTTCTTAATTGTTCCTATATGTTTGTCTCCTTCCGTTGTCTAGATGAAGTTAATACCCTTCTCTTCTTTTTATATTTTTTTCTTTAAGTCAATCATCAGCAATTAATTTCTCATCTCTTTGCTGATAAAAGTGTGAGAAGAGCCTATTTTAAAATAATGTATATCTATCTTTGTGTGTCTGTTATTTCTAAGTGAAAAATAACTTTTCATTTAATGCCATAACTGATGTAAAAAAAAAAATCACACTCAACAAAATTGGCTTTTGATTCTTTGTCTTAGAATAATTTCTCTCTTCATAGTATATGTATTTATAATATGTATAAAATTTGTGTTGAAAATGAGTATAGCTACACTTACTTCAATTATTTCTATATGTACAATTCTAGAATTCAGAATAAGTGATCACTTTCTTCAAGTTACTCTCCATTCTCATACTCCTTTTCCAAACTGTTCCTCCTCCATTTGTTGTTATATACCACCAAGTCAGAATTGACACATAGCTGACCTTCCAGTGGGTTTTTAGAGGCAATAAATCACACGGGCAGAGTTTGCCCACCAGTCTTCCACAGAGCAGCTTACGGATTCCAAGGAAAAGCCTTTGGGTTGGCAGTGCAACTCCTTACCACTAAGCCACCAGAAATCCTCGTATCTGTCTTTGTTGCTACTGTTATTGTCATATACCATAAAGTCGGGAGCGACCCATAGCTGAACCTACAGGTGGGTTTTCAGAGGCAATTAATCACCAAGGGAGGAGATGTCCCATCCTTCTGTGGAGCAGATGGTGGTCTCGGGACAAGTGCCTTTGGGATTGCAGCACAGCTTCTTGTCACTAGACCACCAGACTCCCTTTAGTGGCTCCAAAATGTTTGGATTCCATGAAAATTTGAAATTCCATCCTGATCTTTTTGAACTGTATTTGTTTAATGGGTCTATATTTCTTATCCAGGGGGAGAATGTTCCTTCACACTATTCTATTAATCCTTCCTTCATGAAATGCATATATTGATGTGGAATCCTCACCTGTACTACTCAGGGCTCTTGATTCAGGCTGCTCATTAGAAACCTATGAGGAGCTTTAAAAAAAATACCTATGCCTGGGTCCCACCCAGACCAATTAAATTGGAACATCTCTGGTGGAGCCTGAACATATAATTTTTAAATGCTTCTCAGAGGATTTTAATGTGCAACCAGTGTGGGAACCAAGGTTTCTTATTAAAATTATCTTAGTTAAATATTGCTTCATTATTTTTCATTGGGTAAATTGTCATATTTTAAGTAGTCTCAGCCACAACCACTTAAAGCCAGAAATCATTATAGCAATTATTCTGCTATATCTCTCCTCTTGGTTTAGACCTTGTTTTAAGAAAATAAAACTCCAGAGAAAAATATGGTATTAGAGTTGTAAATGTAACCTCTTTAAACCAGTTCTTATTTAGTCAGTTCAGGCTCTTGAGTTTTAAAGTAGAACTGTGATCCATCAGGTTTCAATGGCTTCTTTTTTTGGCGATGAATGACCAGACCTTTCTTCTGAAGTGCTCTGGAGTATTTGAACCCCTAACCCTGCAATTAGAAGCTAAGTGCATTAATTATTTTCACCCTAAAAGAGTCTTGTGACTCATATATAACTAATAAGTTATTGTGTATATGCTTCTTTAATTCTTCAAAATGCCACCTTCCCTTTTAAAATTCAATAATTCCTCAAGTTTTAATTTATTTCTTTGTAATTCTATTTAAAAAATATGACTATAAAGGTTTTGTTGATCTATCCCCAAGATAGATTTTAAAATAATTTTCTTATTATTTGAATGAAAACAGAGGAAATTGGTTTTCCATTCAATTATTTTAGACACATTTCATTTGTGACATAAATCATGGTTTTCACAATGTAACAGAACTCTTCCTACTTTCTCACTGAAACTCTGGCTTCCCCTTGTCCTTTCTTATAATTTACATCCTCTTGAGCTTTATTTGTGGTCAAATACTACTTTTTTTTTAATACTACTTTTTAAAATCTTGTTCTATTGACTGTTCTACAAAGTTATTTCATTCCTGGCATTACTGATCATCTTGTAGGCATTTGTTTGGCTTGTAGTCTATTGTTTGGCTGAATCATGGGGGTGATTTCAGTTCCAGGTTTAAAGGGTTACTAGGACTTGATCTTAGGGATATAATCATTTGTCTATCAGATACTTGTGTTGGAGAGTGTTTGCATGTTGCTTATCTAAATAGCTTATCATCTGCTCACATGGATACAGCCCTTCTCTGCAAGAGGCTGTACTAAAGCAGAGCTCCCACTTTAAGACAGACTAGGAAGAATTGTCTATTCACTTCTGAAACAATCACTGTTGTTATGTGCCAGTCACTTGTGCCTCTATATAAAATAGCTCTGAACCCTGCTCTATCCTGAGCCAACCTTTTTGTCTTTGACATGCTTATCTTCATTACCACAATAACGGAATCAATCCATCTTATCCAGAGTCTTCATTTCTGTCCCTCCATTCTTCCAAGCATGATGTCCCTCTCCAGGGATTGGCCCCTTCATGCAACATGCCCAAAGTGTGTGAGATGAAGCTTCAAAAGCCTGGCCTCTAACAAGCAGTCTGGTTTCACTCTCTCAAGCACAAACCTGTTTGTTCTCCTAGCAGTCCATGATATATTCAATACTCTTCTCCAGCACCACAGCTCAAAGTCATCAATTCCCCTTCTATCATCCTAAGTCATTGCCCAGGTTTCTGATGCATATCAAGTACTTGTGAATACCATGGTGTGGATCACGTACACCTTAGTCTCCAGACTGACATCATGGCTCTTCAGTACTCTGGAGAGGACCCTGACAGCAGATTTTCCTAATACAATTAATTAATTTCCTAATACAATCTTTTGATTTCCTGATTGCCATTACATAAGAGTGTTGATTGTGGAGCCAAGCAAACTGAAGCTGTTAACAATCTCATTCTCTTCACTGTCTATTATGATACTCCCGGTTGGCCCAGCGGTGAGAATCTGAAACAATATGCCTTTGAAAACCTATGGACAGTTCCACAGTTAGAGAGAGATAGCACTGGAGGTAGAGCCTTCAGATTGGAAGACATGCAAAATGAAAAACAGTTGCAAACATTCAATAATAATAGGACCTGGAACACATGAAATATGAATATAGGAAAATTAGACACTGCCAAAATGAAATGGAATTGATAAAGGTTCGCATACTGGATATTAGTAAGTTGAGATGGTTTGGCATTGACCACTCAGAATCAGAAAATTAGATGGTTTACTTTTCTGAGAATGAAAACTTGAGGAATAATGGTGTTGCAGTCATAGTTTAAAAGTCTATTTCAAGATCCTTCTTGAAATACAAAGCTATGTGACAGAATACTATTCATACACATACAAGGAAGACCTGTTAAAGCAACTATTATTCAAATATATGCACCAACCACTAAAGACAAAGAGGAGGAAATTGAGGATTTCTACTAACTTCTGGTGATCCAACAGAATTTGGAAACTATTAAGCAGTGGCTAGAATAGAATAGTACATTGACAGGGAACTCCCAGAAGCACAAGCTGGTTTTAGAAGAAGCTGTGGCAACAGAGATATCACTGCTAATATCAGATGGGTCCTGGCTGAAAGCATAGAATACCAGAAGAATATCTATTTGTGCTTTATCAGCTATGTAAATGTATTTGACTGCGTGGACCATAACAAATTATGGATTTTGTTGAAAAGAATGGGAATCCCAGAACACTTAATTGTGGTCATACAGAATCTATTCTTAGGCCAAGAAGCTATTGTGAGAATGGTTTAAGATCAAGAAGGGTGTGCGTCAGGACTGCATCCTTTCCATACCCATTCAATCTGTATGCTGAGCAAATAATTCATAAAGTTGGACTCTCTGAAGAGGAGTGTGGCCTCAGGATTGGAGTAAGACCCAACAGTAACCTGTGTTATGTAGACAACACAATTTTGCTTGCTGAAAGTAAGAAGGATATGAGACACTTGCTGTAGAAGGTCAAGGACTACAACTTTTGGTATGCATTACATCTCAACATCAAGACG